GCCGATTCCAGACCTTGGGGGACCTGCGGAAGCAGTGGACTGAGTCTGGAATCGGCCCTTCTCCACAATCCTTCTCAGGGTCCGGTCACCTCTTCTCGTTGTGCAGCGTTTTCTGCCACACTTTTCCCTTCCCACAGACTTCCCACTGAGGTGCCTTGATACAGCACTCTGGGAACAGCCTATTCGTTCAGCAATTTCTTGCTGTGTCTTACCCTCTTGCTTGAGGGTGTCAATGATGGCCTTCTGGACAGCAGTCAGGTCGGCAGTCTTACCCATGATTGCGGTTTTGAGTAATGAACAAGGCTGGGAGTTTTTAAAAGCCTCAGGAATCTTTTACAGGTGTTTAGAGTTACGTCGTTGATTCAGATGGTTAGGTTAATAGCTTGTTTAGAGAACCTTTTCATGATATGCTATTTTTTTGGGACAGGCATTTTGGGTTTTCATGAGCTGTATGCCATAATCATCAGTATTAAAACAATTAAAGACCTGAAATATTTCAGATGGTGTGCAATGAATCTGAAATATATGAAAGTTTCATTTTTATCATTATGGAAAATAATGACCTTTATCACAATATGCTAATTTTTTGAGAAGGACCTGTACATGTGGCACATTTCTCCCCCTCATCCATATTGCTCCATCATCTGCATATAAAGCTGATTTGATGCCTCTGTCAAGCTTTGCAAATATGTCGTTAATCATAATGTTGAATAAAACTGGACTAATTACACTGCCTTGAGGGGTGCCGTTTTCCACTTTGAAGTGTCTTGATAATTCACCCCCAACTTTTACTTTAATTGTCCTATCCTGAAAGAAGCTGGCAATCCAGTTATACATTCTCCCATCTATTCCCATTTGTTCTAGTTTTATTAGCAGCCCTTCCCTCCACATAGAATCATACGCTTTTTCTATGTCAAAGAATACTATGATCATCATTTCTTTAATTTTTAGTGTTTTTCCAATATCATTACATACTCTTACTAGAGCATCTACTGTGGACCGACCAGTTCTAAAACAAAATTGATAATTACTAATAAGTTCTCTTTTTTCAAGGACATACATTAATCTGTTTACTAATATTTTCTCCATCAGTTTACATAAATGAGAAGTTAATGCTATGGGTCTGTAATTGTCTGTACTTGTTGGATCTTTCCCTGGTTTATTGAATGGTAGAATTATGGCTATTTTCCAGCTCTTTGGTAATGTTTCTTCTTTCCATATTTTATTGAATAGTTTTAGAATGATATTTAACGTTGTTTCCGGTAGATGTCTAAACATGACATAACACAGGCTATCCTCACCTGGAGCTGAATAACGTGCAACTTTTAATGCCCTTTTGATTTCTTTCATAGTTATATGTTCATCAAGTGTTGACATGGATCTGTTTTTCTTCTGTCCTACATTACTGAATGTTTTGAGTTTTTGTTCCTTCTGCTGCTTGTGATCGTTTCCTAGATGTTCTCCACTGTGGACTGCAGCAAACGCCTCACCCAGAGAATCAGCCTTTTCTTTATTTGAAACCATTATCTCGTTATTTTTAACCAAAGCTGGAATTTTAACTTCACTTCTTTTCCCACTCATTTTCTTAATCATTGTCCACACCTGATTTAAATTTATTTTATATCCTATGGACGAACAATAATCTCTCCAAGTTTTCTTTTTTGCTTCCTTAATAGTCCTACAGGTCCTTCTAAAAAAATTAGCATATTGTGATAAAGGTCATTATTTTCCATAATGTAATGATAAAAATGAAACTTTCATATATTTCAGATTCATTGCACACCAACTGAAATATTTCAGGTCTTTGATTGTTTTAATACTGATGATTATGGCATACAGCTCATGAAAACCCAAAATGCCTGTCCCAAAAAATTAGCATATTTCATCCCACCAATGAAAGACAAGTGTTTTTAATACAAAAAACGCCAACCTTCAAAATAATCATGTTCAGTTATGCACTCAATACTTGGTCGGGAATCCTTTTGCATGAATGACTGCTTCAATGCGATGTGGCATGGAGGCAATCAGCCTGTGGCACTGCTGAGGTGTTATGGAGGCCCAGGATGCTTCGATAGCGACCTTAAGCTCATCCAGAGTGTTGGGTCTTGCGTCTCTAAACTTTCTCTTCACAATATCCCACAGGTTCTCTATGGGGTTCAGGTCAGGAGAGTTGGCAGGCCAATTGAGCACAGTAATACCATGGTCAGTAAACCATTTACCAGTGGTTTTGGCACTGTGAGCACAGTGGACCAACACCAGCAGCTGACATGGCACCCCAGACCATCACTGACTGTGGGTGCTTCACACTGGACTTCTGGCATTTTGGCATTTCCTTCTCCCCAGTCTTCCTCCAGACTCTGGCACCTTGATTTTCGAATGACATGCAAAATTTGCTTTCATCTGAAAAAAGTACTTTGGACCACTGAGCAACAGTCCAGTGCTGCTTCTCTGTAGCCCAGGTCAGGCGCTTCTGCCACTGTTTCTGGTTCAAAAGTGGCTTGACCTGGGGAATGCGGCACCTGTAGCCCATTTCCTGCACACGCCTGTGCACGGTGGCTCTGGATGTTTCTACTCCAGACTCAGTCCACTGCTTCCGCAGGTCCCCCAAGGTCTGGAATCGGCCCTTCTCCACAATCCTCCTCAGGGTCCAGTCACCTCTTCTTGTTGTGCAGCGTTTTCTGCCACACTTTTCCCTTCCCACAGACTTCCCACTGAGGTGCCTTGTTGCAGCACTCTGGGAACAGCCTATTCGTTCAGCAATTTCCTTCTGTGTCTTACCCTCTTGCTTGAGGGTGTCAACGATGGCCTTCTGGACAGCAGTCAGGTCGGCAGTCTTACCCATGATTGCGGTTTTGAGTGTAGTGTTCTAAAGGGCTAGGTTAGCTTCTGAGCTTCACTATAGTCATATTTAAATAACGGGTTCTCTCTTTTTCGAGCTACTTACAGATATGTGACAGAGGTACTGTGCGTAGGTGGTTTAATCAGTGACATGAGACGTTAATTTTCTTTGACCCATCAAAATAAATGTGGTCATTTATTAACAGAATCAAAATTTAACATCAAAACATTGTACACTTGTAGTGACTGATCTGGTTCTGATTAATAAAACTTGGCATGTTTTACTTAATAAAAACAACAGACATTTCTGAAGGCATCTGGATTAATTACTGGCAAGATAGAAGAGTTTTAAAGATGGAAAATATGGAGGAGTTTAAAGGAAGATGTTGAAGAAGATGTGTGTCTGTAGACCAGACCAACACGCTCCTTTCAAACGCAGCGCCCGCGGTACACTTGTAGTGAAGCTCGTGACGACTCTTTAACTTGGCAGAGGATGGGTCCGCTACGGTCAAGAGGTCCCTGGCATGCTACCTTTCAGCGTCTCCTCAGGGCGGCTGCGACTCGGCAGAAGTCGTGAGATACTCCATTCAACAGAACAAACTTCCCCAGAAGTTGTAGGGCATTTGCCTGGTGGAGCCACAGCGAGGCG